GAGAACGAGATACAATTCACAGCGCTTGGATGGAGTGCTTTGTCCGTGTCAAGTTAGATCCATTAGGGTCTAGAGCGCAGTTGAAATCTGATGTTTATTGATTTTTCTGCCTAGCTTATCTGTCCATTGCTGTAAGGGATATTGCAGCCCCCTGCTATTGTTGTATGACAGTCATTCTTTCCCCCAATTTCTATTCATCTTTGCTTTCTGTGTGTAGATGCTCCAGTGTTGGGTGAAAGTGAATTTTTTTAGCACCTGCCGGCCCCATGTGCATATGAATTTATAATTGTTCTATTCTTTGGCAGAATGGACCCCTTTGCCAATATGTGATGACTTTAATTTTTTTTTTAATTTAGTTATTATTATTATCAGATTTGCTATAGGGCACATGCACTCACCAGAGAGAGACAGAGAGAGAGAGAGGGAAAGTGAGAAAGCAAGCTACCAAAAGATGAGCAGGTGGCATAATGGTTATGTCACCGGACTCCCACATAGTCATCTGCGGTTCAAGTCCCAGACCTGGGAGCTTAAAAATCACACCGGGCACGTGTGTGTACATCCCTAAAATCCCAAGAGGAGAGTGGAATAGAAGGGAAACATTTTTTAAAAGTCATTCCATATTGGTAAAGTGTTCACGTTGAGATTGTTGTTGATTCACATGCAGTGGTCTAAGTTCATGTTCTTTGAACCATATATATTTTTTCTTTTGAACTTCCTCTCATTCATTTTTCTAACTATTGGTTTCGCACAAATCAGCCACTGGTATTTTGTGATTAAAATGAGAGGAGCCGTGTAGAAAGGCTTGACGTTGACTAAAACTCTGTGACACCTCATTTGCTGTCTGACTGTGGCCATGGCCATGGTTAAGGGAAGGTAGCAGGGCGGCTCCAGAACCTGGTGGATACGGCGGCCGGACCCCACCTGGCTGGCCATGCAGTTGAGTCCCACACCCAGTGGCTTCATACACATGCTGGCCATGTGTGCACACATGCCCAGATTCCAAACAGAGAGAGACATGGAAGAGGAGGGCTTGTGTGTGT